TATGTTCGCCCACTGCCACCTCCTACGCGGGATCGAGCATCGCCGCCGGTTTCCTCCCTAGACACCGTCGTCGGCCTTCTACCGCGATAGTGCCACCGCGGGAGAGCCACCGCCGCCCACCTCAGCGTGAGCCCGTCGCCCCCGCTGCATCGGCCACCACCCCCTGCCTCCCCTTCGATGCGACACACCGACGGCCACCACCCGCCTCCCCATCGACGCCATGCACCGGCGGCCACCACCCGGCGTCCACCGTGCCTACCTACCATCCACCTGCACCTCGAGGAGTGCTCGACCTGCAGTAAGAGGAGGGTACGACCTGCTGCTTGGTGGCCACATCCGGCAGAGTGGAGAGAGGCGGTTGGGAGATAGATTTTGCACGTGACCCTCCGGCCAGAGGCTGCCGAACTGCTGCGTCGCCAGCCACCAGCAGCAGCAGGTCGCCTTTGCCATCTCCTGTACAGAATGCTGACACCGAGCCTCTCAGCCCCTCTGCCTCCTCCGGTGTTTGTTTGCAAAAAAAAACTCTAGTCACCGTCATGTTCCTCCCAACCTCCCTCCTCCCCCGCAACGACAAACCTTCTCCCTGCAGCGAGCTGCTGTCCGTAGCGTCCTCTCAGGCACTGTCAAACGGTTGTTGGTATGCTACTACTGCAGTTCAGCTTGAGTGCGAGAGGAAAAAGATTTCTGAGACAGATTAGTTGTTGCTGTTGTCCTAGGTTTTTTGTCTTAAATTATTTCCGTTTCTAGGAAGTGTATGTGTTGGTCGTGCATGTAGCACACGAAGTGTATGTGTTTTGTTGTGCATACTTTTTTTGATTTTCAATAGCACGCGTAGTTGTTTTAGAAATTCCGAAGTTCACGTGCACCACATACAGAAGAAATTCATCAAATGAGAAAAAGGGACCGCCTAGGCCATTTCACCAAAAGCAAAAAATGAATAGAATGGCGCGACAAAAAATCAAAAGTTCACAAGATGTAACATAGTGACTTCTAGAAAAATGGAAAAAACCATAATTTTGTTTTGTATGTTTAACCATTTCTAAACAATACTTAGAAGTTCAAATTTTAAAAACAAGGCGGTTTGATGTTTATTACAAACCTATGGTTTCCCAATTTATAAAAAAGGCACAAAGGTTCAAATTTAAATAACAGCGAAGTTCAAATGTTTATTATGAAAAGGAAAGAAGTTCAAAGTAAAAAAATAGTGCATTTCAAAAAGTTATAAAAATGGGTTTTCCCATTTATAGAAAAGAAGACACCATTCAATATTTTAACATTAAAAAAGATGGAGAGGTCCAAAACCTTCACCGTTGAAGTTAGTGTATAGAACAAGGGCCATATTCATAGAAAAAATTAATTTTTGTATGTTCGGAAATGGTGTGTTGAGAAATCAATAAAATTGGAAAATCCAAATCTCCTGATTGGCAGATCATAAGAAATCAAACAAAAATAATTGATTAGTTCAAAAAACATAAAAAAATTGAAGCAGATACTTAAACATTTCTAAATAAAAAAACAAGAAGTTCAAATTTTAAAAATAGAGCAATTCAAAAATTCATAAGAACGTATTTTCACCATTTCTAGATAAGAAACACGGGAAGTTCAAATTTAAATAACAGACAAGTTCAATATTTATTACAAACCTATGATTTTTCTGTTACAAAAAAAATAATCCAAGAAGTCCAAATTACAAAAATAGAGAAGTTCGATATTTATAAAAAAACTTAAATTTTGCTTGTTATTAAAGAAATAAAATCAAGAAGTTCAGAATTATGGAATGTATACACAAATCTCAAATTATTTCCCTTTTTAGGAAAAATAATAGTATCAAGTTCTATCTTAAAAAAATTGTGTGATGCTTATTTAAAAACCATATTTTCTCTGTTTTTCACGTGAAAGTTGTGTGTTTTCAACAACTTTCCATGGGTATATCATTTGCTCAATTCCGGGTAAGTGGTTGGGGAGTTACAGGTAAAAAAACAACACGGGAAAAATAGAGTGACGTTCAAAAAGAACTGCACCAGAAGTTCAACCTCTTCACAAAGTGCATTTTCCGGAGACTTATGTTTTTCCGATGAAGGCAGAACGCATGATCTCAAAAGTTGAGGTAGATAACTGACAGAAGTTCACGTACTACACGGTGTGCATTTTGTATTAAAAAAAGAATGAAAATGCAAAGCCAAAAGTTTTGTTACTAGAAGTTCAAGTGCTCGGCCCGAGAAAGTTCAAAAATTCTTGTGAGAGAGGTTGAACAAAAATACGTGACAGAAGTTCCAGGTGAAAACAACGAGAAGTTCAACTACTGCAAGGAATGCATTTCAGGTGAGAATAAATGTATAGAAAAAATAAAAGCTTAAAAGGTTTGTTGAAAGAAGTTCAGGTGATCTGTCCGGGGAAGTTAAAAAATTCTTACGAGAGAGGTTCACCTTGTATTTCCATGTTCGATTATTGTTGTATAAAAATTGAATACAATTCTTTACTCAAAAATATAAAAAGGAGAAGTTCAAATTAAAATAACAGAGAAGTTCGGAGCTTATTAGAACCTAGGATTTACCGGTTCAAAAAATAAAAAACACAACACCATTTTTTGCACTTTTAAAAATAACCTCATAAACGAAAAAATGGTTGCTAGAAGTTCAAGTGCTCGGCGAGGAAAAATTCGAAAAATTCTTGTGAGAGAGGTTCACCATGTATTTAAATGTCCAAAATACATACAAAAATATGTTATTTTTTGTGTTTTAATTCCCTCAAACCAGAAAGAAGTTCAGAGTGATAACAATCGGAAGTTCACGTACTACATGTTGTGTGTTTCATATAAGAAAAATATAATAAAGTGAAACAGAGTGAAGTTCAAACAGACATGCTCCAGAAGTTCAACTACTTCACGTACTGCAAAAAACAACACGTCAAAAACAAAGTGAAGTTCAAACAGACATGCCCCAGAAGTTCTACTACTTCACGCAGTGCGTTTCCGTTCGCGATGAACGCAGAAATCATGATCTCGCCATTTTCTAATTTACCTCAAAACGACAGGAATATTATTTGTGTAAGTTCAAGTCCTCAGTCGGAGAAAGTTAAAAAAATTACTGTGAGAGACGTTTGTACAAAAGGAATATTATTTGTATAACACTGATAAATGGATGAGAAAATTACAAACAAAAACACGTCACAGAAGTTCAACATGAAAACAGCAGGAAGTTCACCTACTACATTGAATGAATTTCAGAT